AAAGGGTGATAGAAGTCAGAAAGAATGATAGAGGTCAGAAAGGGTGATAGAAGTCAGAAAGAATGATAGAGGTCAGAAAGGGTGATAGAAGTCAGAAAGAGTGATAGAGATCAGAAAGACTGATAGAAGTCAGAAAGACTGATAGAAGTCAGAAAGAATGATAGAGGTCAGAAAGGGTGATAGAGATCAGAAAGACTGATAGAAGTCAGAAAGACTGATAGAAGTCAGAAAGAATGATAGAGGTCAGAAAGGGTGATAGAGATCAGAAAGACTGATAGAAGTCAAAAAGAGTGATAGAAGTCAGAAAGAGAGATTGAAGACAGAAAGTGTAATAGATGTCAGAAAGAGTGATATAAGTCAGAAAGAGTGATAGAAAACAGAGAGTGATAGAAGTCAGAGTGATAGGAGTCAGAGCGATAGAAGTCAGAAAGAGTGATAGAGAACAGAGAGTGATAGAATTCAGAAAGGGTGATAGAAGTCAGAAGACTGATAGAAGTCAGAAAGAGTGATAGAGATCAGAAAGAGTGACATAAGTCAGAAAGAGTGACAGAATCAGAAAGAGTGACAGAAGTCAGAAAGAGTGACATAAGTCAGAAAGAGTGACAGAATCAGAAAGAGTGACAGAAGTCAGAAAGAGTGATAGAAGTCAAAAAGAGTGATATGTCAGAAAGAGTGACAGGTCAGAAAGAGTGACAGAAGTCAGAAAGAGTGACAGAAGTAAAAAAAAGTGATAAAAGTCATAAACTGTGATAGAAGTCATAAAGAGTGATAGAAGTCATAAAGAGTGGTAGAAGTCAGTCTCCAAACATACACAGAACAAATCAACCACCAGAAATAGAAGCTTGATTTGTCTCTAGCCGTTTTAACAAAGAAAATGCTGCTAAAAGGATGAATAAAGTCTCCGCTTCAACTCAGAACAGAAACGAAACTAAAAAATTCTCCCACTGAATGTTTATATCAAAAAGATCACTGATTCCCTCATTTCACAGTCAATCAAAAAGGGATTCAGCCTCAGACAGATCATCCAACCATCATGCAGAAGCTGAGCGTCCGGGCCAGCCGAGGCCAGCCCACTGCCCCATTGACCCCCAGAGACGCTGAGTGTCCTATGGGCGGGACAAAGCCAGCATTTATCCAATGACTCGTCTCGTTTCGCTGCAGTCTTTGCATCGATAATGAGCTCTGTAGACGCTCAGCATCCGCATAGTTTAAAGCACTGTGAAGCTGCGTCGTTACCAGTGATAAGAAGCTGATTCTGAACAAAAGTTGAGCTCGTTGTAGCGCATATTTAGTTAATGACATGTACTCACAACAGTATATGTTTGATCACTTATTTTTTTTGACATTTTAGTGGAAGCTGAGCTTCCCTTGCAGTCTTAGAGCAATCGCCTCTGGTCACCACCCATCTTGAAGAGTTTCCCCCTAACAAATACTAATGTGCCACAAACAGGAAGTTAGTATCACCAAGCATTCCCATTTTATTTAGGTATTTCCAGCGTGGTGTATCCCACGCTGCAGTTGAAGTTTTATTTAATAAGGAAAATTAAAATGTAAATTATTATAAAAAGGTAGGTCGGTACGGTGGCTCAGTTGGTAGAGCTGATGCCTCTCAGTTAGAAGGTTGATGGATCAAATCCCAACCTGGGGAACTTTCTGGGTACAGTTTGCATGTTCTCTCCAGGCACTCTAACTTCTTCACACAGATCAAAAACATGACTGTTAACTGTGTAGCACTTTTCCTGCATATAATTAATAATTTCTGATTAGATGTAACTGGTTCTTATTTCTGCTTAAAGGAAGAAATCAAATYCACTTTAACTTCAGACTTTTTCCAAGGATTTTGCATGGAACTTCCCTTTGTGGCCCTAATTARCATCTATCGCAAACCCCCCACTAGACTTTGCGACGCCTCAGCAGACAAACTGAAAAAATTTACATTCTGATAAGTCCTTGTGCTTCCACCCCCCATAAGGACTGCCTGCCTGTTTTTCTTCAAAGGGGGTGAAGGGCCAGAAACACCTTTAACCAGACTCCAGTGGCTTGAAACAAAGGAACTTACATTCTTCATTAAATGTGAAAAAAAGAAGGAACCAGATTGAATG